TCGACGGTTATAAAATAAAATAAAATAAAAACACTACAAACTACTATTATTCGCATGGCACTATTCACTACACTACTTCTTAAAAAAAGTAACACAATACATTTCTAATATTACATTACAAACTACAGAAAAAAGTAACGACTACAGTAGTTGCTTTATTTCTAGTGCTCTACTTCCGACCCTGGTTGTTTGGTTTTTCGTTTACCTTCTTTCTGCTTGTGGCCAAGACCACGAATAGATAAGATTTTTATAAAATTCGTCTAATATTTGAAACTAGTGTCTTTAATAGCTGAGATTCGGGACTGCATTCCTGCTCTTGTGCATTACAATCCCTTATCCTGCAAGAAAGTCCCTAAAAATATTGAAGTCCTAAACTTCAATATTATACTTCAGAATAAAAACCATTTTGTATTTTCTTTTTAAATAATAATAACAATACTGAATAATACTAAAAGTTTCAAACTGAAGTTTCAAACTGAAGTTTTTAACTTCAGTTTGAAACTTCTTTTTTTTATAACAGAATGTGTCAACTTCTTTTTCATGTAAACTATTTGAATGTCATGTAAATTATTTGTCTTCCAATATTTGAAACTAGTATCTTCCAGCACTTAATATCTGAGATTCAGGACTGCATTCCTGTTCTTGTGGATTACAGTCCCTTATCCTATAAAAAAGTCCCTAAAAATATTGAAGTCCTAAACTTCAATATTATACTTCAGAATAAAGACCATTTTGCATTTTCTTTTTAAGTAATATAAACAATACTAAATAATACTAAAAGTTTCAAACTGAAAATTTTAACTTCAGTTTGAAACTTCATCTTTTCTTTTTATAACAGAATGTGTCAACTTCTTTTTGATGTAAATTATTTGAATGTTATGTAAATTATTTGAAATGTGTAATGATGAAGAATAATGTTTCTGTATAAAAACTGTCGCGCACCGCAAAAAAAGAGAAAAGAAAAAAAACTTTGAATTGAAGGAACGTGCACTTCAAACAAATGACTTGGAACTAAAAAGAAAGTCATAAAAACTATAAAAGAAAAAGTGAAAAACTTATAAGAAAAGTAGACCTGCAAACTGTTCCCTTTATCTGCGCTTCTTTTAAGTTGAATTTTTATCGTTTTTACAATAAAAAAAATTCCTTTTTTACATTCCATATTACTCTTATATTATTACAGGCATGTTTCTTTGCATTTATTTGTTAATTATTTTTTGAAATGTTTGCGATTGAAATTTTTTTTTATTTTGCCATTGATTTCACTAGAAATTCTGGTGAAAAGGACTGCAAGTAATTGACTATAAAAAAAAATTTCACAAGTTCTAAATTTAATTTTAAAAAATTCCAGTAATGGCACATTTTTTACGGGAAGAGGGAATATAATATAGAATGTCTCATACGTGTTTTTCTTTACTAAATTGTAGCTTAAAGTAGATTCTGATACTTATTTTAAGACCTATAAAATTGTTATTCTACAAAGAGCTACAAATATTCAATATTCCAATTAAAAGTTTATTTTCTGAAATTAATGGACAAAAGTTTTTGAAAATATACTCATTAAGAAAATTCCCTGCCGTCTGTATGGAGTCATGTTTTTAAACATATTACAGTACATAACCCGTTATCCGGAAATCAGAAAACCGGAAAATCAAAAAACCGGAACGAAATTCGATAAATTTTCCCGCCATTTAAAAAAAAAAAATTTCCTCTTAAGATTTTTGGATTTTTCGCTCTTTTTTGAAGTATGTTTACCTTACCATCATTTTGGAAATAATCATTAATGTATTACTTCATCGTTTTTTCTTCTTTTTAAGATTTCCAAATATTTTTTATTTTTAGTTGGGTTTAACAATAAAAAAAACGGCTTTTTGTAGCGATTCAGAAAACCGGAAAAATCAGTTATCCGGAATATCGATGGTCCCGATCGTTCCGGATAATCGGTTACCTACTGTACTATATTTTACTTTTCCCTTTTGATTGAAGTTAGGGAAGATTTTGCAATTCCTTCCCTTTCAGAATCTCTGAATAAAACCTGGTACAGCGAAGTTCTGCGTGGCTTTTTCATGATGTAACTGCTTGTACTAAACACCAAGATCTCCACTGGAGAAACTTTGTGAAAAATGTGCAATAATGTATACTGAATAAATATAAAAATAAACCGATATTTGTAATATCTATTTCGTTTCTACAAATAAGATCAATTCTTATTTCACACAAATATGAACACACACAAATGTGTTTGTGTGCGTGTGTCCAAATTGTTATTCTATCGTTTTTTTTTTCGCTGAAACTTAGAAATATGCTTCATCGGAAACTTTTTTAATCTTTTGGTTACTGCTGGTACAACATGTGGTACAATATGGAACACCGCAAACAAAAGGTTAAGATCCTTGTCTCCTCCTCGCTTCGCTCATCAATCCCCACGACATTGCTACGTAGTAATCATTTTTTATTACTTCATGATAACTTTTCAACTGATAGTTCCCATAAGTTTTACAGAATAAACAAGGATTCGGTTCCACAGATATTATTGGGATAAAATTTAACTTCCATCATTTTGCTCGGATAAGCATAACAACTTCATCTCAATTTTTGGTTTTTGAATGCTTGGTAACTTATTAAATCATTAAAACGATCATAAAGTAATTGTGCGAATATTAATTCTTAATAAAGTTCGTAATCGTTATTTTAATTGAACTGGACAAAGCGTCATATAAAGCTTACAATAGAAATAAAGATAAATTGCTTAATGTTATTAGTTGTAAGACGGTTACTAAGTTAGATACTACTTCAATTATGTTCATACGGATGGTAGATTGAATGTAAACAATAACAACTTTCTTAAAACCGGAGGAAATATAGAAAATAATAGGCTTAATATTCTAGGAAATTTTATAGGGGTGACATGTGCTTAAATTTATGAGTAATTTTACAATTCATAGGATTTTCTTGTAATTGGATTTTCTTGTCATTCTAATGGGCTGTGAGCCTAAAAAAATGTAAGAAAATTAATATCCCAACATAAATAAAGTGTAAGGTTTGTCATGTTTCGAGTGTTATCCCTCATTTGGCTATATTTGTGTAAAATATCACCGTTTTTTATTTTCTGCGTAGCATCTTGCAGAGCATGGCATGCCTGTTGAGTCTTCCAAATTCATTTGTTGCTTGCTTTGATGAAATTTAAATTGAAAGAACGCGTTATATTGTAAACACTACAAAATAATATTTGATGGCGCGCTTTTTCAAGCATGGGCGTGAAAGTAGTCTCCAGGTAGTCTAACGACAAATTTTAACCCCTAACGACATCTGTGCTTAGCCTTACACGGTTAACCATCCATTAAAAAGCCGTGGGGGCTCAAGGAATAGAGCTCTCGCCTCCCAATGAGGTGAACCGAGTTCGAATCCAGCCAATGGCTGGTTGATTTGAATTTCGCACCCAGCTCTCGCCGACTCCGACCACACTGCTCTCCTCTGTGTAGACGGATCATGGGTTAGAGTACCCTTGCCGTCCGGCTAACCGGAGGAGAATTTCGTCTCCGTGTAACGCAAATGCGGGTGGGTACCATGAAAAAGTCCTCCACGAAGGCAAATCTGTCTCACTACTTGATCCCTTGAGTTCCCTTATTTTCTGGATTGGGTTCAAAGTTACAATGCTACGGAGATGAACATTGGTAGTCGTAAACTAAAAATTCCGTCTGCTTTTCAACGACGGGTATAAAATTAAATAAAATATAAACCATCTATAAAATTGGGGATATTTCCGTATCGTGATCTGTCGCGCCAACTTCAGTTACCAGAATGCCAAATAGATTTTAAACTTGCAATTTTTTTTTTAAAAAAAGGCATGTAGATTTTTGGTCGGAGGAAGCTACGAGCTACACATTTTGAGTTGGTCCCTGTGATGTTTTTTTTTTACAGTTTCTCTCGAGCCACTGCCTGGAAATTGCCAAGACTTGGCAATTATTCTGCCACAGCTCACGATTCGGAAATATCCCCTTAAAATTTTGCGTTCTAAAGTATTAATATAAGGTTATTTTATAATTTACAATAGAGTAAAACAGCTTTTAGTTTTAAGCTTTTTATTTTGAATAATAATCAAAATCAAAACGCAATAATAAGAAAGAATAATCCTAAGAAAAGCAAATAAATAAATATTTCAACAAATGTCGTTAAATACTGGTAATATTTTATAACTTTTATTACCCAAAGAAATTGGGAGCCGTGAGCTTTTGGTCATAAAAAGGGACTGTGAGTAACTGACTATCCTTTACTTAGTATGGATGGTGTTTTCTGCATTAGGGTGCACTGCAAGCTCTATACCTCCTATACTTCCGGGTTACTGTTTCCGGTGTATTCTCCAGCCATTTGGCACACAATGTGCTTTGCTTACTCTCTTGAGTAGCTTTTCTTGTATACGTGCATTTGTTACCTGGTCTTTTTTATTTGTGTTTGAAAAGAATCGTTATGAAACACTTCGTACCTTGTCAAGAATATACCAACTTCGAAACTTAAACCTAAATGATAATTTGTAAAATGAACCTAATCTCGCTACTCAAACAATACGCCAACACTAACGTATAATGGTGCACGGATTGCAACACGAACAAACAGTAACAAGCAAGTAAAAAGAGGCCAAACCGGGACTGCCAAAAAAGCGAATTCTTTCTAAATCTAACAACCATGTCACCTTTTTTAACAATACATTTATCAATAACTAAAACAAATTTTCACTTCAAACTCACGAGAATTACTTAATATCTTACGGTGTACAACAGATTTGAGCTTAGAAATTATATAATTTATTTATTTCATTAAAAAATAAATTATCTGTTTGAAAATATCGCCTTAGAATAATCTGTAGTAAGCAGCTGCATACTTTCTAACCGGCAGTCAAGATACTCAAGGTTGTTATTGTTTACATTTATATTAAAAATACCATCCATAGTGTTGTGTATAAACATTTTAAATAAATAAAAACAATCATTTTTGTTTTTCTGAAGATATGCGTTGCCTGAGACTGAAGATGGTGCAGGTACCAGAGTCCATAACTGTGGGTGAAGTGGCGAGACTTGTATGCGTATTTGACGAAGAGCAGGATGTCTTATATTCCGTCAAATGGTACAAAGATGACGTCGAGTTTTTCCGATTCCTGCCAAACGACAGACCATCCAACCAAAACTTCGAAATCGGAGATGTCGAAGTCGATGTAAGTAGCTGTCACTCAATTAATTCAGTACAAAAGAATATTCTGAATGTCTAATAGAAAAATTTCAACTGAGAAACCCAGTTTTTTTTCTTCATACAGTCTTCTTTGTTTATCATTTAGAACATATGGCATGTGTATCGGTATATGATTTCGATGGCTCGTAAAAAGTACGCGTTATGCTCATAGAGTTGAATACAACTCTATGCTCTTTGCTTGCTATCTGTGACGTGTCTTTTCGGAAGGAATAAAGCGAGCTCGGTCCTCTACCTACTATATCAACTCTATGGTTATGCTCCGTTGCAAGTTAAGAGACCATTGCTGTACAACTGCATACAGTTTCATTTAATTCAGCTATCAAATTATATATCTGCTTTTAAAACAATATAAAAGCTTTTAAAAGTTAAACTCGTTGGACAGTAATTTAATTCGCGATGTTTTTATGGTATTTGGATGGTTGACAGAATGTAAACAATAACAAACTTCCTAAAACCGAAAGGAATTTAGAAAACTTCAAGCTGTATCTATCCGCTTATCTTACGCTTACGAGGCGATATGTAAACAGGCTTCATATTCTAGGAAGTTTTATTATCGTCAAATTTACATGAAATTTTACCGTTCATAAGAATTTTCTGTAATTTAAAAATTTTAACAGGTCGTAAGCCGAAAACAAATTTAAGAAAGTTAATACGACAACGTAAATAAAGTGTAAAGTTTGCAACGTTTTGAGCGTTATCTCTTAATTTGGCTAAAATTGTGTAAAATATCGTCTGCTGTTATTATTTGAGTAGCATTATAGCATGATTGCGTAGTCTTTTAAATACATTTGTTATTTGCTTCATTGAAAGTTAAATTGAAAGAACACGTTACATTATGAACACTACAAGTATAATAATATTGAATGGAGCGCTTTTCCAAGCTTATACCTAAAAATCAATCCGAAATTGTAACCCAGAAGTCTTACGGTGAATTTTATCCCCTAGCACCCTTTATACGGTCGACCATCCATATCATAGAATTTTTGAAAAAGGGTCATAGTTTCGTTGTCTTATCGGAATTCTAGATTTGGCGACATATTTTTTTATAAATAAAGGAGAACACTAGTTTTTGAAAAAGAAACAAATCTATAACGTTGCGAGAGCGTTGGATTTGATTGGGCAGGGAGCGTCTTAAGCTGACATGCGCTTAACAAATAAATGCGAGCTAAAGATATATATAATTTTTTTTTTACTTTTGTTTCGCTGTAGGAGAAAATCGTCTGCGAGGAACAATATTATTCTTTCATCAGTTTCTTTAAATGCGAACAGGAAGACGTGTAGGTTTGTTTTACGATTTTTAGACATCATTTTTATCAATTCTTATTAACAGAACAATAGTTTTTATTCCAAAAGTTTTATATTCCTTATTTCACGCGATTTAAGAAAGAAAGCAAAAAAGGTTGTGCAATGTCGTTTCAAAAGTTGGCATTACGTTCGCCCTGGGAGCTTAGCATCCATTACGCGTGCATTTAGATGCAAATCGGGTCTCTTCATAAGGAAAATGGTTTTTCTTTAACTTGCAACAGAGTATAGATGATTTTTATTCCATAACTATATTTTTATTTTACAACTGACCAATATATATTTTATAACCGGTATTGAACAGCCTGACCCAATTTTTTGGATTTACGACTGTTAATGTGCATAGCCTTGTAATTTTGAACCCAATCCAGGAGACAAGGGAACTCCTGCATCAAGTATTTGGAGAAATTTGCCTTCGTGTAGAACTTTTTGATGTAATTGACCAATATTTGCGCTACGTGGATAGGAAAAACACGAAAGCCTCCCACGGTTAGCCTGACGGCATGGGGACTCTAACCCATGATCCGTCTACCACTAGGGATATTTTGCGACAGCACTGTGGTCGGTGCAAGCCGGGTGCGTAATTCGTATCTCTCAGCCATCGCTGGCATTCGAACCCGGTTCACCTCATTGGAAGGCGAGAGCTCAATCCCCTGAGCCAGCACAGCTCACATTATACAGCTGGAAGTTATGCTGGCGGGGATGGTAAATATAATATGACTTAATATTTTGTTCACAAACAAAGAATTTAATTTTGCAACTCTTTCCGTTACAGGTTTTAATAATTTTGAAAGTTTTTTTTAATAAGAAAATGAAAAATAAATTAAAAAACGATGTATTCGATAAAATTAAAAAAGTTAAATCCCGCCGAAAAGAGTTCTTAAATAACTTATGCTAGCAAAATGTTTTTTGTTTTTTTTTAAGGACTTTTATAATACAAAATTTTTTTTTCTACAGGTGATTAAATAAAATAATTAAAAATTTTATTTTTAACATATCCAACAAACTTTTAAGTGCTTAAATACACTGAAGAGCCAAAAAAACTGGTATACCTGCATAATATCGTGTAGGGCACCCGCGAGCACGCAGAAGTGACGCAACACGACGTGGCATGGATTCGATCAATGTGTGAAGTAGTGCTGGAGATAATTGACACCATGAATCCTGTAGGGCTGTCCATAAACCAGTGGGAGTAAGAGGGTGTGGGTATATCTTCTGAACATCACGTTGCAAGGCATCCCAAATATCCCAGCGATGTCGTAGATTTGATGTTTTACCGGATTTCCGATACTCACGGTATACTCGTGAAATGGTCGTACGTGAAAATCCGAATTTCATTGCTATCTCGGAGATGCTATTTCCCATCTCCCGTGCGCCGACTATAACACCACGTTCAAACTCACTTAAATCTGTATAACCTGGCATTGTAGCACCAGTAACCGATCTAAAAACTGTGCTAGACACTCGCTGTCTTATATACGCGTTGCCGATTGCAGCGCTGTACTCTGATTGGCTCCATACCCACTTACTTGCATACTCATGCCTGTACCACTTTTTTTTGGCTCTTCAGTGTATATTTTAATTTAAAAAAAAAAATTTTTTTACTTTTCCCACCACAGCCGACTTAGATTTTAAAAAAATCGTAAAACTCGATTCACACTATTTTACACCTCTTCCTATTTTACAAGATGATTTTGCAACTAACTTGTTCCCCAAACTCCATATAACTTCATTTCTTCATATTTTCCTATCGAAGTTTCCTCTGATATAGCGAGTCACACCCTCAATAAAGTAAAAAACTTTATCATTTTTTTAATCCTTGTTCTAGATAAAGTATTAACAGGGCCATCTAAATAACATTACCTGGGGTTCCTGTAACAGGGTTCCTGCCATCTAAATAACATTTGGCCAAGTTTATACATTATTTTTGATTACCAGAATCAGGAGTGAACGAGGTGGTCAGTTATCACAAGAAGGTATTATCAATAACAAGGCAAAACGGTAAAGATTAAAAAACAACTAACATTAAAAATAAATTACTTCATATTGATAATAGAGGGTGCAATTCGGCGAATGTAACAAATGACGATTACTCCGATCGCTATTTTTTTCGTCCAAAACGAACCTCATTTGTATCATTATTTTTTTTTTAAATAAATAAGGAATTAATATAAATTTCTTATAATAATCCGAAGTTTCTTTATTTCGACTTTCTTCATTTCAGAAATAAACCTTGTAATGTTTATTATAATTTGAGAACCGTTTCAAAAGACATCACCCTTACATCATTAACAATTTTTTTTATTTGCTCAAAACTTCCGATTTTTGAAAAAGTGACCACATGTTTTAAAATTGGCCGCTGCTTCTTTTTAACAAATTACAACAACTGACCAAGGGCCAGTTGCAAAAATATTTGTTAGTTGGAAACGCTACCATTACAGTAAGATAAGAGAGTCTGTAAAATTATTTTTAAAATACCATAAGTATTAAGGATGCAATATTTCTTAAAATAAAAATAGTCTTTTAATACCACAGCAAAGAGAGAATATTTATAGGAATTCGAAGTAGGCTTAGCAAAAACGAAGCGGATAAAAATGATTCTTATTGCAGTTCATTTACGTCGCACTAGAGCTGCACAATGGGGCTATTGGCGACGGTCTGGGAAACATCCATGCAGAAGATGATCCGAAGACATGCCATCACAATTTTGATCCTCTGCAGAGGGGATGGGACTCCCGCTACGGTAGCCTGACGACCTGCTCCTCGAAGTCAAGCACTTTACGGTAGAACAGTTTAACGAGGACCCATACCGTACACCCTCGGTCCCTACGCAGACTGATCCAAGTGGTCAACCACCCGCACACTGACAGCAGCTAGTGATACATGAGGACGGTTCTTGAATAAAAAAGGAGATGCTGGGGAATATTTAAGAAATGCGTTTGGTGGGGACATTTGAGAACATTATTATCTGCATTACACTACTAAAAAGATGCATGCCTTTTTATAACAGCTTATTTCTGCTTCTGTGGAGTGTTCAGCTTCGTGTTAGGCGAAAACAAACTCTCACCTTCTCTGCTCGATTGTAAACTAGAACTAGACACAATATTAGAAAATTTGCTAAAAAATATAATTTTTCCTTATACTTGATAATAACATTTTTAAGTAAATTGCAATATAAAAGAATAAAGGTGATATCGTAACAATATCCATATGTATTTATATTCCCTTTACTTAGCATTATACAATAAGAGACAATTATTTCAGCGGAAAATATAATAGAAAGATATAAGAGTTTTAGGAAAAATAAATGTCATTAGTTCCTGTTTGTTCTTATCGCCGGAAAGTGGTTAGAGAATCGATAAGAGCTTTTTTTTATTTTTTTTTATTATTCACTAAAACGAACTCTTGTGTTTCCTATCAGAAACCAATTGAAAAGAAAGAGAAGAAAAAAAACTTCGTTATCACATTAAACTCGCCAATTAACCCATTCTTCACGATGGAGAGGATTAAGATTGAGGGAAAAAAAGGAAAAGAAAGAAACGCTAAAAAGGAATAAAAATAGGAACTACAGGACATCGTTTATAGACCCCTCTCTTTTTTTTTTCTTTTTTTTTCCCCCTTCTTCTTTTCATCTTTAGAGCTTACAACAGCAAGGTTTTCAGG